AAACATTTTTAGTTAGTTAAACTCATCCAGTCGTATAATGCATAAAGTTGAATTGTCAGCTCCTCCACTGAACACCTTAAATTCACGGCTCTAAACATTGTTAAGAATAAAATAATTAAGCAAGTAATAGTAATCCTCAAACAAAGATGACCATATTTCCAAATAATAAAATCGCCACACGCTCAGATTATCAGATAATAAAATTCGGACAGTAAATTATACAAGTAATGAATATTGTTAAGGCCAAATGTTATTTTACTGACCAATGAAATTTTTCGACAAACGTCTTGTTTGTTTATTTGTTGTTAAGCACAAAGCTACACAATTGGCTATCTGTGCTCTGCCAACCACGGGTATCGAAACACGGTTTTTAACGTTAAACGCCTTCATATTTACCGCTAAGTCACTGTGGTGTGGTGGTTATTTAAAGACACTATTTCTTTTATACTGTATGTGGTAAGCTACATGGTTGTTGACTTGGGCGGGAGAGAGATAGCCGAGGAGACGAACAGACGAAGGCTGGCAAAATGACGACAAGGCGTGTCCTGGCGACCAAAGGAGCCGAGAAGTCGTCGACAAAGCAGCAACAAACAGGCCTTGCAAGGATCTACAAATCCAAATGCTATGGATGAGAGCTACAGATCCAATGCCTTGAGATTAGGTATGGGGTGGGAGTCGGGAATAAAATTTGAGCAACTGTCAACTGTTCATCCTTGGGGTACTTTAATTAAATGCTTCACGACTTGAAGATAAAAAAAAAAAACCGCTGTGAACAGCACCTACTATTTACTATTTAACTGTGTCCCTCTTTCTTGGCGGGTGCAAATTACGTGCTCATTGACCTATAGTAAAACCAGGCCTGCTGCAGCCTGCCTTATAGCCAGCTTCGGAGAAAACAGTAAAGGCTAAGTCTTCCCGAGATGTGTGATAATGTGCTTATTCAGTTTAAAAAATTGTGTTTGTTATTGTCAGAGGCTCAAAGTATTACATACCAATATTTAAAAAAAAAGTTAAAGATTACTAGCAAAAATGAAAACCAAGACATTTAGACATTCCAAAGGATCTATCGAGACGACATTCCAAAAAAACCGTGACTGTCTCAGCGAAAACCGGTACATCAGGTCGCCCAACCTTAGTCCCCTCCCATACTCTCTCTCTGGATATAGTAGCCTCAATGGGTGGTTACGCCATTAAGTGCTTCGCAAACTCATAAAGCTGTTTTGTATGTTTAACTTCGTTCGATATTAGATTTCCCCATGATAATAATTCCCATTTTAAATCACTGTTAAGACTAACATCATATTGCTTAACACATTCTCTCACCGATTCTCGAAGATAATAAAGTACTTGTTTCAGTTGGAGCGTTAAATAGGAACATAAAATTTGCGTAGTTCTTCATAATATTTATTTTTACGAGATTCATGATTTTCCCTGGTTACTGGTTATCATTGCGAAATGCTGAAAATAAAAAAATAACGACGGAATATGCAAATTTTGTCTTTTATGTATGCATGAATACGTGTGTACACGTATAATTTATACATATTTTAAACAAACATAGAATTCGAACAACAGGTTAGACAATGTATAGTTCAGGATGTTAAAGTATTATCATTTTGAAATAATTTCGCGTCATATTTTGCACTGCTTTATGTAACAAAAGACAGATTATGGAAGACCCGAAGTCTCGGTAGAATTCGTAAAACAAGACTTTAACATCTAACCTGAAGAAATAAAGTCAATAATTATGGTATAAATAAACCCTATGCTGGCGAAGCGTGGTCTACTGATTGATAGTTTGTGCAACAGTAGATCACAATAAAGTTGATAATATTTTTTTTATCAAATCTTTCTGTACAAACAATTGTCCACGAATCTTAAGGAATAATAAAAAAAAAGAGAGTATATCCCATTGTACATGTTTGGATGCTTCTACCCCCCGGGTTCGGATCCCCGTCACACCAAACATGCTCGCCCTTTCAGCCGTGGGGGCGTTATAATGTGACGGGCAATTCCACTATTCGTTGGTAAAAGAGTAGCCCAAGAGTTGGCGGTGGGTGGTGATGACTAGCTGCCTTCCCTCTAGTCTTACACTACTAAATTAGGGACGGCTAGCGCAGATAGCCCTCGTGTAGCTTTGCGCGAAGTTCAAAACAGACAAACTATAATATTACAGATGATAGTAATAAAAAGCTAATATTCATTTCTTTGAATATAATATACTAAACGCTATGACCCTCTCGACGAGGGTTATGTTTATTTGATTTAATATAAACAGAATAGCACATATATATATATATGATAGATACATTAATATTCTTCAATATATTTCCTGCCCAGGTGATTAGGGCGCTCGACTCGTAATCTGCGAGTCGTGGGTTCGAA